TTATTCCCTCCCCCCCCCCCCCCCAAGGAAACACAATCTGTTTCCTCCCTCTACAGGAAACACAATTAGAGCAGTTTAAAAACTTCTCCCTCAGTTAAAGGAGAACTATGAGGTGAGTGATTTTCACTTATCCTCATAGTTCGAGCCGACGTGTGACAATGAAACTGTCACACGTTAGCCCTATAGATCAGGAAGTGAGCGAACACATAGCGTCGCTCGCTCACTTCTCGATCATCTCCCTGCAGAGAGCCGTGACTGCCAGTCACGGCTCCCTGCAGGGATTCCCCCCCTCTCCGATCCTCCAGTGCTGAGTGGAGGAACGAACGGGGGAGGGGGCGGGTACAGCTGCCTCTAGATTGGCAGTTTGCGCTGTCAGTCACGCAGCTGGGTGGATCTTGACAGTAATGTCGGGATCCGTCCTGGCTGCGGCAGTCTCAGTATACCGCAAGCTGTAGCTCGTGATACACTGAGCTTTGGGTCACAGAAGGAGGTTAGTATATGTCCTCCCGTGACCCTAAAGAGAACTATGGGTTACCCCATGGTTCTCTTTTAAGATTGTGTTTCCTGCTGTCCAGGACTTGACAACATTTGTTTTCTTTCCTGACCGGATGGCTGTTGGGTCAGCGGTCCCCCTCTGATGCAGCTCTGCTGGCTTATGATTGCCCGAAGCCTTGGTGTCTTTTGTCAGAGGTACCCCTGAAATGCTTCCAGGACCTTGGCTGCCTCCTGTTACCACCCCAGGCATTCTTGCCCTGTCCTCCTCCTCCCCTTCTGGGGTAGTGCAGGTGGCTGGCGAAGGTGTGGCATGTTCCTGGGACAGCGGTTCCTGGGCTTCCAGCAATGGCAGTTGGCGGAATGCAGGCAGAGTTTGTGGCAACCCAAACTTCATTCTGAATGCCATGACATCGCTTTGGGTGTCTGGGATGACGCACTTGTGGTCACGCTGCAGCATGAATGCTGAAGCCAGGCAGCATGGTTGATCGGCACTGCCACCAATGGAGGACTCAGACGTTTTATGCACATCAGCACATTGCTTAGGTGTGAACTGCAGCGATAGGACATGAGGCAGATTGTTGGTCACTGACATAAACAAGTCCTAAAGTATTTTGGAATGTTCACTCCGTGTGATGAGAAAAGAATATCTCTGTTTTACTTATTTAATCTGCACATGAGTCAATCATCATACAGTTTATTCTGCGAACATGGAACTTCAGTAAATCCTTCAGTAAATCAGCCCCTATATGTCAGAATTCTGGTGGTGATAATTACACAGAATTCTGACGCTAATCTCCACATTGTAGGATATCATCTCACAATTATTAAAATGGAACTCTAGCAAGTTTATGTTTTTTTGGACTTGTGCTCTATACCAGCCTCTCAACCAGGGTGCCTTTTGGCTTCCTTGATATTTTCACACAGATGTGAAGAGGAATCCTTATGTTAAGGGGGACTATGATGTGAAAAGGGGGGCTCCTTATGTAAAGGGGGATTTTGATGTGATGGAAACTCTTGATAAAATCCATATCGGACTCTATCTGATTACATTTCAGAGTGGGGTGCTTTGAGATTTGTCATACTTTTAAAGTGTCCTATGACTGAAAAAAGGTTAAGAAACACTGCTCTATATAAACAAGTTACCTCTAATGATGGTTATTCCAGGTCTGGATCTATGCTGTTTAGTTTCTGAAATCCTAGTCTTGCTGGAATGCTGTGTTAGTGAAGGGACCTTGTCATTCGCCCTCCCTTTCCTCTCCCCTCGTTCATTCTTTTCAGAGTGCAAGGTGTTATGTGAATGGACAGAAGTAGGGGATAAAATAGAGGATCTATCTTTGTCCATTCACAGAAAGCCTTGCATTACCTGACTGGATATAATGTGACAGAATTGTGTATACATTCCCTCATATGTCATCATTTTCTAGCTGTTTTGTTTCAAATTTGATTTATTTGTTAATACCCACGGATTGTAATCTAAGCACACTGCAGGTCGTTGTTCGGAATACTCTTTGCCTGCAATTTATGTTCTGTATGAAATGCATAGAGGGGAATTTATCAAAACTGGAGCAGACAGAATTGCAGCAGTTGCCCATCGTAACCAATTGCCATGCACAGAACTGCTCCACATTCTGTCTGCTCCAGTTTTGATATATTCCCCTCACAGTGCTGTTAGTGGCCCTAAGATGTCCTGAGGGGTGTGTTCTCGGTATATGAGAAGTGCTGTCATGTGACCTTTTGAAAGGTCGTATGACCAGCTTCCTGCTTCTCCCAGCACTGCTCCCCCCTTTTAGTATTTGGGACTTTGCTTCAGGAGTCCGGAAGCCACCCTGATGAAGTACACAGAAGTCCTTTATGATGCTGCTTTCCTAAAGGGCCCCTAAATCTGTCTGGCCGGTTTAATTGTTTAAAGCCCCAGTGGCTGGGAGGAGGTGAAGTGCCTCCCACTTCCAGGTCAAAGCTTGGGCAGTTGTCCAGGCAATGTGTTTTGGGGAAGGATCCCCTTTATCAAGTCTAGGTGCCAATATATCAGTGGTTGGGGCAGGCAGAGGTGCTGGTAATTAGTGTGAACCAGAACCATGTGAATGGGTAAAACATAGCACAGTGAATGTACACTATGAATAGACCACAAATTATTTTAAATTAATTGATACAGAAGTATTCCAAAGGGGGTTATAGTGAAGTAAATAAAATGTAGGTTTAAAAAATATTAAAATACAGGCTTTTAGGGCTGGTTCATGGTCAGTGCGTTCCAGGCATGGCGGGGGCCAATCCCCCTCCCGCAGTGGAATCACCCATACCAGAACACGGGCACATCAATGCCTGTGGTCCGGTGTTCTAGCAAAGATTGTGACTGGTTTCGAATGTGTGACCAGTCACGTGGTCACACATTCTAACGTAATCATGCCCATTTTTTTTCGCGGTTAAAATATGTGACCGGCAAAAGGTGTAGAATTCAATGCTTTCTCATCTGTTCCAGGGCAGATCGGCATCACAGATGGTAGGTGCAGGAGAACCGATCTGCCCTGAAACAGCTGATCGGTCCTGAAATGTCACTTCTATCCAACTTTGTGAGTGCGATCTGACATTTCACAAAGTCGGATAGAAGTGAGATTTCAGGACCGATCAGCTGTTTCAGGGAAGATCAGTTCTCCTGCACATACGATCTGCGATGCCGATCTGCCCTGGAACAGCTGACAAAGCTTTGAATTCTACACCTTTTTGTCACATATTTTAACCCCGGAAGAAATGGGCCGGTCACACATTCCACCACCGAAAAAAATGTGCGTGATTACGTGACACATTGTAACGCAGTCACAAACTTTGATATCACACCGGTCCAGTACGATCACACAAAATAGCACTTGTAATGGCCCTTACAAAATGAGCAGAGTCAAAATAAAGTGCTAATGAATGGCTTCAAAATGAATAACAATGTTACTATTTAAAAAGGTAAATAAATGATAATTCCCTTTCACATGTGCCCATTGGAATACAAAATGCAGTGCAATTGCAGGTTGTGAACAATAGGTGGCAGCAAATAACTTGCTCTGCTGGGTCAGTGAGACAAGGATATGTTACTTGGGGCCCATTCACACTTGAGCTGAGTGTCCTTGGGTTTTTTTTTTTCTTTTTTCTCTCTTTGTTTGTACAAGCATTTTTGCAAGCATTTGAGGCTTGAGCGGTTATCTTTAGGCAATGCAAAGTAAGTTACTAGGCAACACAATGAAAAAAAATTTGATTTTTTTTATTTTTCAGTTGTTTTCATTAAAGTCCATTGGAGCCAAAATGCCTGATCCCGCTCCAAAAGAAACCTATGTACTTTTTCAAGCCACAGGCATTTTGTTACAAGTGACCGAACACTCGGGTGTGAACAGAGGTCATTTTACCGAATGCCTAGGTGGGAATGGGGCCTTAAAAGTATCATGAATGAATAAGGAGCTTTCCTAATATCCTACCATCTGAGAAAAATAGTTAAGATGAGAAAATTAGGGCAATATTACATTTTGTTAATCTTAAGATCCTCATTCACATCAAATTATGTCAGTGTACTTAATTTAAAGATCCAGTATGTCTCCGCTCTGCATTGGGCTTTAGCTTCTCATTCAGGAAATACTTTTTGGGGATGTTTTCACTGGTGTCAGGTCTGCACATTCACAAGTATGTGTGTCATGGAGCTCTTTGATCATCTATTCAATGTTTCTGCAGCGCTCTCAAAATTTAGCAAGCAGGGGCCTTGCAGTTCTTCCAATGTAATAGAGTAAGGGCCTGTTCACACAACGTTCGTTTTCTGTGCTGACCTGATCCGTACGCTCCTGCACTAAAAATGTATCCCTATTGGTAATGGTAAACGGGGAATAGGTAAGCCACAAACTGAGGAATGGTTGCTATACCTCACTCCCAATTGATGACAATGTCATCCTATATAGTCCTTGATGCCAATGCTGGGGGTTATCATTGCGGCCACTGACACCAATGCTTGGGGGGGGGGGGGGGGGGGGGGTATTATTGCTGCCACTGACACCAATACTGAGAGTTTTTATTAATGACACAAATGCTGAGGCTTATTATTGCTACCAGTGACGATAGGGCATTTTTACTCCCACTTTCTCTTTGGTGTGCATTTTGTGCTCTTTCATGTAGTTTGTGCTTTACAGTTTTTATCTATGAAAAATTAGAGGAATTCTGCGACATAATGTTTTCCTTTCAGAATTTTTCTTCTGGTTTAGTTCAGAAACTGGTTTTATTGTACAAGATGTAGGAGGATCAGCTGATGCATGTGGAAGTTAAGTCAGATGTATGAAGGAACACTTCCTGTTATAAACGTGGAGATTGTCACTGTACAGAGGTGAAAGAGAACTACTTAGATCGAGATTGCTTTAGTTATGATTTGATATTGTTTTAGCTCTTGCAATAAGCAGGCACACAATTGGATTTTGATGTCACAAAAAGCAGGATTTGTGCAATGTTTAAATTAATGTGGATGTTTTCTTTCTGTAAGCACTGAAAGTGGGCCTTTGTGGCTGTCAGAATTTCTACAATGAGCACTGCCGCAGAAAGAAAATTCATTAACCTCCGTAAGCGCCTGGACCAGCTGGGCTACAAGCAGCCACTAGGCATCGAGTCTTTACCTCTAGTTGAAAAACTCTTCAGGTATGTTCACTGTATTCATTCATTTTTATTTTCTATATGGCAAACTATATTTCAGAGCCCAAGTGCAGCGTTGCCAGAAACGCACCTGTCTTAAATTTACTCTCCTTTCTTTATATTTAATTGTATTTCTTTCCCACTTATTCTTAATTTCTCTGAGTCTTCAGTTTTTGTTAGTTGCCATGGGTGATCTGATAATAATAAGCCCTATGTATACGGTAATGGTTGCACAGAACCACACTGTTCTAATAAACGCTGAAAGTTAGGCCTAGATCACACCTAGGAGTTTTTGAGCTGTTGGAAAAGCACTTTAAAACACCCAACACAAGAAATCCCATGATTTTCAATGGCCCTTGTTCTCACTTGAGTAGGAAAACGCCAGCAGAAAAACACCTGAAAAGGTACATGAACTTCTTTGGGCAGTGAAAGGCGTGTTTTTTGCATCAAAGACTTCAATGAAAACGCGTGGCAAAAGCATATTGCACATTTTCATGCGCGTTTAAACGCATGTTCGTCCATTGCCCACAATTTTTTATAAGCTGCCAGTCAAAACACACATCTTCATGTACGTCCGTATAAACATAGGAACCAAAATGCGCATAAACACGCAAATAACTGCACGTTGAACATGCGCGAACCAAAGCGCAAAAACAGTGCCGCCTGGGTGTGAATCTGGCCTTCTGGAAAATTCAAAATTGAAAACAAAACATGCAGTACATCTCTGCAATACATGCCCCATTTCCTTAAGTTGTATCTCCTTTATAAATGCTACAAATACAGAATAATACCTGTTGTTCTGCCAGAAAAGGTGCCCAACCTTACGAATATTGGCCCAATTTTGTTTGCGATCGCGTTTTCATCAGGTATTTGTAAGGTTCATGGGCAGTGTACAACCGCAAATACTGTACAATCAAATGACATTTGTCTTTTTTGCGGGCGCACGCAATTTTAAGGCTTCGCATGTTTGGTGTCTATTTACCCGACGTGACCCTGTCTTTTATATTTGACCAAAAATATGGGTAAGAATAAATGTTTTTTAACATAACGTAGGGAAAACATATTTTTTTTTCCAAAATATACGGTACTTTTTTCGTTATGCAGTAAAAAAATAAATAAAACCCCAGTGGTGATTATATACCCCCAAAAGAAAGCTCTGTGACCCCAAATTGTTTTAACATAAATTGCAAGGCTATAGTCCGGTCATGCGGACTTGTGACATTTTTGACTGGTGAGGCACCCTAAAATTTTTCAAGCTCTGAGAATCAGTATTGTGCAAGCAACTAATTATTTGCAATAAAATGACCGGTGGTTTCCTCTCTGCAAAAACTGTTCACCACTTACTATGGTGATGTACAGAGAAGCAGGTGCTCCAGCCACTCCCTGTTGTGTAGGTACAAGCAATGTATCAAGACCAGCAATCACCTGATGTGACATCACTCAGATCATTTGTATGAAGTCACTTCCAACTTACTATCATTATTTTACATTGCGTGTACAGTGGTGATATGCCACTGAAGTCCCCAACAGATGAATGATGGGGATTTCTATCTACAAGACTCCACTTTTGATAAATATTAGTTTCAAGTGAACTAAACAATTAATGAGAATCCACGTAAATTTCTTATGCAGTGTGCTGAAATGTTTTGCTTGGCCTGCAAAAAATGCTTGGGTTTACTGTGGAAAATGTACTTTAGCCTTTATTAAATCAGCTCTGCCAAATAAAGTAGACTTGGATTTTGGCTAGGAGCAGACAAGACTAAATTACACAAAAGTTACACTTGCAGTAGGGGCTCTTGTCAAGTCTAGGAGGTAGAGTAATAAAATGTTTTCCTTCTCCTATTCCTCCCTCCAGCAGGCTCTGTCACTATTCCATTCTCTCTGATGCTCCGGATTGTAGGTGGGTCCTTTGTGCCCTTGTGCACAATGTAATGATAATGGTCCTGTATTTTACTTCATGTGACTTTTGGCCGAGGCGCCTTTGAAAAGAGGCTTCGGGGACAGTCCGCACAGATGAAGGGAGCCTGCTGGAGTGAGGAATAAGGTAAGAATTACTAGCAAAAAGGTGGGTGATATGATCAAATCAAAGGACAGTTCATATAAGAATCGGAGTGTCAGTTAAAGTACAAAAATGATTTATTCAAAAAGGTTTTAAAACAACACACGGTGACATGACAAACCACCTAAGAACCCAATTAAAATCAATGAATCCACTGGTTCATTCACTCACTTCATTCAAACATTCACGGACTGGTTGCTGGTAATAAATATATAGACCGGTGGAGCTCTCAATTTTCAAAATGGAGCTGACGGCAATCGAAAATCAAAACAGCGATCACCCCTGAAAGGAATATATAGTATAAATGAATGGAAGTTATTGCAACATCTAATTGTTTCCACTGCGGGATGGGCAGACCTGTCTGCTCTCATGAACCAATACAGTCAATGATACATGGTAGCTTTGTATCCACTTGCAGAAATGATATAAAGTGGATAATATATTGCTGTGCTGAATGAGGACTTCCCTCGTCCGGTAGGTAATCCCTGGTTAAGGGTAAAGTTCCGCAAGGATGTAATTTAGATATCTCCTAATGGTTGATTTCACATTGAGGGATCTCCAGGTGGATAACATATGTTTTCAATATGGGAGTACTCACACATTTGGATGTCTTTGGAATCGATTCCTTTGGGGATGGTCCCGATCCTTTCACTCTGAAGAAGAGTGATGTCTTTACTGTGTCTTTGCTGTATCTTTTGAGGTTCAAATGTGCCAAAATATTGTCGATGCCTTCACCCCTCTTATATGATCGCGGCTGATGCTGTCTCCGGTTTAACACTGAAGTAGATTACCTGACATGCAAGCAGACATCCAGCTTTGCGTCCACTGCCATGGTTGCCAGTGCCTGCATGTCGGGTAATCTACTCCGGTGCAGGCAGACATCCAGCTTTGCGTCAACTGCCACATTAACTGACACTCCGATTCTTATATGAATTGTCCTTTGATCATATCACCCACCTTTTTGCTAGGAATTGTCTCACAGTTGAGAATTGTTGAGTCAGGGGACCCGCAGTAAGGGTTAAAATAATAGGGAGTGGTCTCTGGACACACTTTGTCTGTTTAATGTAAGAATTGCACCTTTTTCATAAGCCCGTAGACCTATTGAGCAGGAAACTCTGCAAGCCTCACAGTATTTGAGGATTTTGACATGCACCAATTATCAGCTTAGTAATACAATTTCAGTCTAAGGTCTTCAAATGCTCCAGCCCGAGTTCAATCGCCCGTGTGACCTTGCCTTATGTTTTTCTTGTTGATCAATTTAAGCACTTGTCTGACCTTTTGCTTTGTGTGCATTTCACAGTGACCTCGTTCATACTACAGAAAGCCTTCGTAATGCTAAGTTAAGTGCTAGCAAAAATGAGAAGGAAAATAAGAATTTTGACTCTGTAATAGAACCCTACAAGGCAGAAAATGCCAGACTTGTCAGGGAAAACAATGAGCTGCACTTGGAACTCCTGAAGATCAAAGAAGAATCAGACCGACACATTAAAGGTCAGTCACTGGACCTAAGAGTCTCTCTCTGATATGTCTGCTTGTGTGTATGTGCTTCAAGGTAATGCATCTCATTTTAACAAGATACAATAGTTGGTTTTGCCCCGGATGTTCTCTGCAGTTTTTTTTTCCAGTCACAATTATAATGGCTTTAGTGTAGGTCAATATATGATCTAAAACACCAGTTGTGGTAAGTGGGCAGTAGTTCCCGCAGCTTGCTGCCCGGGCTCTAATGGCTATCATGAATGTTTCCTTTTTAAGTGAGTTAATTCTTTTCCAGGCGCCCACCAGCAGTCTTCCAAGTGGCACACTATTGCTAAATGGGCATGCAACTTCAGATGACCTATGAACACTGCATGACATGTTCACCTTGATGCTCGCATACAAAGCTCCTTTTGCTTTTTTACATGCTGTACACTTGGTGGGCAATTTCTTAATTTCAGGAACTTTTTTTCATGAGACCCAAAAGTGTATATACTGAAAGGACTGGTCATTCTGGACTGTATGCTGGTAGCTTTTTTTAGTTTATGGTGCTGCTGTTGAATTGTATCTCATCTGCGAACAGTTCGTTTGTCAACATTGGTTGAACAGGTTAGTTAAAGAATAAAGCTATAAAGCCTAGAGGAAAAACTACAGTGGTGATCATAGCACCCAATCGGAAATGGATTTTCATTTTGTAACCTACACCAAAAAAAACAAACGCATCTGAAACCTGACGGGCTGTTTTTAGTAACCTCTCCACTTTTCGTGTGTGTCTGGTATGGTATTGTCATTTTGTGTGTATGTGTTACTGACCCAGCGCGGGTATGCAAATTATGACTTTCTTTTAACTTCACTAGTTGCATGCTTGCTCCAGGTCACTCGGGAAGTATCTATAGTGTTAACTATGTTTTGTCAAAAGGAGATCAGCAATGATATATGTAGAATGTTTTTTTTCATATTGTTCCTTTTTTATTTCCCTGCTTTTTTTTTTTTGAAGACTTGAAAGCCTCTCTAAGAAAATTTGAACACCAGACAGCTGACTTGAAATTTTTGAATAACCAGTATGTGCATAAGATCCGGTCAATGGAGAAGGAGAGCAAAGCAAAAACCGAAAGGATTCAGCAGCTGCAAGAGAAGAACCTGCAAGCTGTGGTGCAAACACCAGGTTAGATTTTGCTGTTTTGTTATGCTGTACTTGCTTAAAGACACCCCCGCCCCCCTTCCACCACCATGTAAAAAAGCAGTGTTAAATATATTAGTAGAAGAAGGAAAAATACTCTTCTTGCACCCTGGCATACAAATAAGGTGAAGGTGGCCATGACAAACATAGATGGTATAACATGTTCTCGTACAAGAATGCCTCTTCTTATATCAGGAAAGGTGATTCTCTCTCAGCGCGTTTTGCACTCCAAGCGCTTCCTCGGGAGAAAGCGGAGATCTAGATAATCATATATCAGGTGAGTACAGACATTCCTCGCTTACCGACTTACCTGCTTTGCGCCGACTCGCACTTACGACCGACCTCCGATCGACCTCCGACCTTGCGTGTCAGCATCAGTGCCACGTCTCGCCGGCGACAGTGATGTCCTCCGTTCTTCAGTGCGGGTCCCGGTAAGTATTTTATTGCCCGATGTACAGTACACTGTTCAGTACTGTACTAACGCAGTACTGTATAGAGTACCTCAGTTAACGACCAATTAACGACCTGGTCATAGGAACGGAACTCGGTCGTTAAGTGAGGAATACCTGTATACTCAAAAGGAGAGTGACAAACCCCTATCTTAATTAACAATATGATACCAGTGCTATCACCTACTACTCCCAGAGAGTAACCTGTGCGCGCCCGGCCAGTTGAGCAGAGGCCCAAGCATGCCCAAGGTGGGGAGAGGGTGATCAGCAGACAACCGTCAAAAGCTAAGCTGAAAGAAAGGGGAGATTGCTGAATATCTCTACCCCAATTGTAAACCCCAAAATGGCCAATCTAACATTCAGTTTGCACAACAAGGAAGACTCCATGGCATCAAACATAGTAAAGATACAAAAAGGGGTTTGTTTAAAGCCGAAGTTTAATCTGTTTATTTTTTGGCTCTATTGGTTTCTTCCATCCCTCCTCCATTAACATGCTAAAGACCATTTATTTTTATTTTTTTTAAATCTTTCCATTTTCATTACATACCTTTTTAGTTAGACCCAGTTATGTCGTCACTTATGTCCTGGGTGCCTCTCTATCCAATGCAGACAGACTGGTGGGAGGGGCCAGCAGGGTGCTACGCATAGCTTGATGGAAACATCACCGCACCCTTCCCCACTTCTGTTCTCAAAAGTCCCCAGAATTGATTCAAGCAGTGGGCTTGCACTTGGGAGGAGTTGTGCAAGTATCAAAATATATTGTGTCGAGCCAAAGGAAATCTCACCGCTCCAATTCCTTAGCCACCATCAGGACTCCCCAGGTGCTGGTCTATTAGGTGCGTCTCCATCTTGGAATGTTGTAGTATGGGAACAGACCGCACTATCCAGAGAATTCCAATACTTCAGACTTTATTGACATTCACAGCATTCCAGTATAACAGTGAATAAAGCAACAAATACCAGCACTGCACACCCCCAACCAGCTACAACCTCTCACATGTTTCACCCGTAGGATTATTCATAGAATTAGCCTACGCTTGAAACATGTGAGAGGTTGTAGCTGGTTGGGGGTGTGCAGTGCTGGTATTTGTTGCTTTATTCACTGTTATACTGGATTTGCTGTGAATTTCAATAAAGTCTGAAGTATTGGAATTCTCTGGATAGTGCGGTCTGTTCCCATACTATCAAAATTTCTTGATGGGTGATAGTCAGTGTGGAGGAGTGGGTATTTCTTGGCAGGCTGCATTTTCAGGCAGACCACCTTAGGTAAGGCACACATCTGATGTTGAGCCCCTATGATTCAAAGAACTGAAATCTAATGAATGAAATGGGAAAGGGTTGATGATTTTGGATGTCATCCAGCAAGGAAATGAGGGGTGGGTTCTGTTTGACTTGCTGTCATTTCTAATGCACACTGTGAGAAGCTCACAATGTTCAGTGAAACCAGAGTAAGCAATTTCAGTACAGAAGAGGAGTCGGCACTACTATGCCATACTGAAGGTAAGACTTGAGATCAGCTAAACTTTGACCCAAAATGCATGGTGATCCAAACTGGCATTAATTCAGTGACTTTTAGTATCCTTGCTCTTTGCATTTTCCATCGTTGTCCTCGTCTTTGCTACACAGTGCAGTTAGGATTTCCAGCATGTAAAAATAACTTTTAATCATATAGAATATACATTACCTTTTTAATACATGACCTATCCTTGCAGGAAAATTCTGATATTTAATGAAAAATATTTTCGCTAAACAGTCACACATCTTAAATGCATTTACTGTGTGTGTCAAAGCTAGCTATACTAGGCATGCTACAATTATTTCTTGATTTTTCTGTAGGGGGAAAGAAGCGAAACATTCCTTTTCGGCGTCAGCGCATGCAGATTGACCAGCCCGTCCCACCATCTGGAACGAGCTGTCACCCTGTACCTCAGCCAGAGGATCCTTATGTTGCTGATCTGCTGCAAGTTGCTGATGACAGGTATGTCCTCTGTTCTGATACAAAAAGCAGAACTCTCAGAATAATGTAAAATTAAATAATACCTCAATGCATATGCTATCTGCTCAACAGTATGATTGAATACAGAGCATTCTTTTTAGATTGGCATGTAACTTGTGTGCTTTTATTCTGTACATTTCAGAATTCGGGAACTTCAGCAGGACGTGATTTCTTTGCAAGCAAAGCTGGACACCTCTGAGAAAGCAGTTAAACATCTCACTCAGAAGGTATTCTTCAGTGTGAAATGTATTTACATTTCTTACCTGTGCCTAATAGATGTAACCATAAACAGGTATTTGTTTAATCTGGTATTGCATACAGTAGTTTGTAGATAATGAAAGTCGAACAGCAACTTTAGGAAACCGGTGTGTCAGGTATACATCTCAAAAGGTTAGAGGAACATTTAGAACTTTAAAGTAACACTAAACTCAGGAGTTAAATCATAAAAATGCATTCAAGTACTTTAACTGTTAACACAAATGTAACTTATGTGTGCGTCATCTAGTTGTAGGTCCTGAAATAATCTCTGAATTTGTGCTGACACTGAGTGGCAAAAAGGATGGCTACTTTTGTTCCTTATGGTCCCTGTGTGTAAAGTAGCCACCACTCCAAGCTCGCTCCTGAAATGGACTACAATCAATCTCTCGTTTAGTTTACGAAATTGTAGTTACAACACACACAGGGACCATGGAGAACCAAAGTAGTCACCCTGCAGTACGAAGTACAATATCGATACAAATTCAGAGATGATTTGAGGATCCACAGCCAAGTGATAAATAAGCTACATATTTGTTAATAGGCTACTTGAATGCATTTTTTTTAGATTTAACTCCTGAGTTTAGTGTCAATTATGTAATATGATCAGTGTACTACTGTGTACGACAGGAGATCAAGGATCGTTGAGTGATTCGACAATTTTCTAACAAGCTGTATGCACTTTGTATACCACATACTATATCAAACAAAAGGACAATAGAATGGATTTTGTTTACAAAATGAATATAACAAAATTACAGTAACGACTGGAAAGTTTTTTTTGTACTTTTAGGGTTTTAGATATTTCATTAGTTTGTTTTATATGTTAATTTCTGTGTTCCGTGTCTCTTTTCACCTACTGCATAACTATCTGATCAACCTCTAGTGATTTATAGTATTTCTTTTTTTTAAAGTGGTGTCCTTGGTGATCCATAGTAACATGCAGTTATCTTTTTGCATTTTGCCCACTATTGGCTGCCACATAATTGATATTGTCAAAGAGCTCAGATGTCTAGTGAATTTCCCTTCACTATCTATGTAGAGTTTGCAGGCTAAAACGGAATCCTGTAACCGATCAATTAAGCTGATCAGTAGGCACATTTTTGTGAATGGGCTGAATGTAGAAGTCATTTGGCAACAGCATTTATTGGACAGTCTCCTTGTTACTTTTCCCAAATGAGGCTTGGATAAATTCTACCAAACATACTCTAATGGCTAATGTCTTTATATTTCATCATAGGTCGAATTAAGAGACAAAGAAGTAGAGCGGTTGGCCTTAGCTCTGGATGGAGGACGATCTCATGATGTAATTTCCCTTGAAGCCAGATACAGAAGTAATGAAAAACTTGTTGCCCATCTAAACCTTCAGGTATTTCTTCTTTGCCCCACAGTTTTTACTGAAGTCAAATACATTGAGTTATGCCATGAATCAGTCTACTTGTAGTTTGTTACTGGGAATGGTGGTCAGTACAAATCTACCCACAGGAGGAAGTCTTTAATCTTCAGGTTATGCTGAGGCCTACAGGAGGAATGAACTTTGGCAAACCAAACAGACTTTACACCAGACCAGGATAACTCCTACTACTGGCATGCCTCAGATTTTTACCTAGTGTCCTAGGCTTTCTGATTGGTTGAAAGCTGGCCACTCAGGAAGCCAGGCGCCGTGTAATGATGCGGCACCTGGCTTTCTGATTGGCCAGCCTCCGACCAATCGGGAAGCCGAGCAGCGTGTAATGATGCGCTGCCCAGCTTCCTGACACCAGAAGTATTGGGCTAGGAATCGGAGCATTCGGGCGAGTACGAGTACTCCTTTGCCAATCAAATTGATACAGTAGACATCCAAATTTAGAGATCTAAATCTAAAATGTTAAACAGTAGGTACAAGGATAAGAACAAAGAGTCAGTGAAGTATAGGATGTGCTGCAAACTTTAGATGATCCAAGGTGACTTGTTGACTACTCTGCAAAACTGATTTACCTGGAATATTATTTTTGCTACATCAACAAGCACTTCATAGGGTTCCTGCAGGACTCTGAGGTCAAGAATCCGGAAGATTTTTTTTGAATTGAGTACAATCGGAGCCCAAGCGATGTGCTGTCTTTTGCGCCGTCATATATAGACACACTGACGTATCCTGTTGGCCCAGGAGAGCGTGGTTCACAGATATCCCCTGCCAGTCTGTGGCGCCTTCCCATCAAACTGTATCTTCTGTCTCGGGGTCCAGTCTTTTCTTGGCCGCAGATCCTAAGAGAAAAGGGCTTGAAGATGTTGTTTCAACTTTTTTTGCAGGCACAGAAAAATCTTGAAAAGTGTCTTATTGAGCTTGGAAAGCTTTCTTAGCTCAGTGCGAAAAGAGGGGCTGTGACCCTAGAATTTTCTCAGGGAGTCAAATCTTAGCTTTTCTCCAATCGGGTTTGGATCAGAGGTTAGTTTTGAGTACTATTAAGGGCCAGATTTAATTTTAACAGTCCTTTTTCAAGAGCCTTTTGACTTCTCATTCTCTAGTAAAGGCCCTTTTATACAAGTAGTTGCATCCTTCAGTGCCTCCTTGGGCCCTTAAAGTGACATTAAAGGATAAAAAAAAATGTCCCTTAATGTCAGCACTTACCTTAAGCGCTGACTCCTATTTGCTTGCTGGCACTTCTGATCCCACGATGTCTGCAACAGTCTCCATTCGAAAATATTGTCAGAACGTTTGCTCTGATAAAAAATTTAAAAAAATCAGCATTTTATTTCTGAAAACAGGTAGGGATCTGTAATTAGGGAGATTCTCTACTAATCCTCATAAAACTGATTACCCTGAGTTCTTCGTAGGCTCGCTAAATTGAAGACCAAATAAAAACAATATTGTGCAAAAATGTATATATTAACTATAAAAATCAGTGCAAAATAATAATCAAAATACAATTGATGACCATAAGGACACCCACAGGATTTTATTTTAGTTATTCGTAAAATTGGACCATCTATCTAGGAAAAGCAGCTAGTGAATTCTCAGTAGAATATGATGACAGGATTGTGACTTCTCCCAGCAAACATATTTAAAGCTCAAACTCCTTACTGCACATGAACTAGTTTGCTAATTTTCTATGAAGA